CACTGTACCCATAACCATCTATATATAAGTATGCTATTGCAAGCTGAAATGGGTTTTCAAAATGAGGGTGATGTTGCACGAGTTTGGTCAACACCTCTATATATATATATATAACCGCCCGAGAGGAGAATGCAATCTATTGAGAAAAGTACGGAGACCTGAGATCGTGGACATGGCTACTCCGAGAGTAGCACTCGAATGTTCAACCTCTACGGTGGAAATCAGTGGTGCGGAAACCGAGTCAATCACGGGGAGATCCGTGTCCGATGCATTCGAATGAGTTTGAGTATCTGACAAGTTGATTATTTCAGTTGCAGTGGTCGAAGGAGGTGGATCACCGGGCAGGAAACTGGTCGGAATCGAATGCGTCTGAGGAACCGGATCCGAAGTCTCAGAAGAAGCGATTCGAGATGGAGAAGTGATACGGGACGTACGAATCGGATGTTTTCGATGGAATGGCAAACAAAAACAATGATTCGTCGATCCTGAACCATCCATATATACACACATACGCAGAACAATTATTGCACCATAAAGCCATAGAGAAAGCAGCAGAATTACCGATTTTCAAACACGAATGTGAAATGTGAATGATGTCGAAAAACACCCAGTCACACACACGCGCGCGCCGTCAGAATGACGATTGGCCAAAATCATGTCGGAGAAAATGAGCCAAGATCAGAAAGATGTGTATATATGATGAACATGCACCAAGTATTGACGGTGGTGAGATGAGGAGACAAATAGTGAGCGAGATTCATAGATTGAAAAACAAACAGAACGATCAATGATCAAGATGGGAACGCGAACAGGGACACATACGCGGGTACGTGTAACCATGAGAGGCAGCCACGACAATGAGAAAATATGAGGGGGGAGGAGATACATACGGAAATATACAATGCTTAGTATGGAAGCTGAACAAAAACAAAACACGTATGCATAAAAATATGGAGAAGATGATCTAAATGCATGAGCATCTTGTGAAACGGGAGGACCAAACACATTACAGGCACTGTAAATATACCACAAATATACCACGCACTGAGGAGCGAATGTAAACCACTAGTCAATCTTCCTGTAACCTACAGAGGCCTATACGTGGTTACCTAGTTCAGATTTTAGGAATCCGTTTGGCGGATGTGTGAAATGACAGCGTGGATTGGCTGGCATCAAACTGTTGAATTTCACAGAGGTCAGTTGAGAAACATGCTATGTGCAACTCGAACGCTGCAATGTGTTCCTTTGGTTTCCACGTGGTTGCTGGAGTAATTACGTCTGACACCAGCATATATATTCACGTTTATGCACTTACAAACTGTGATAAACGAATCCTCAGTATGAGATAGCCACAACTTTTACG